TGTGTGTGTGTGTGTGTGTGTGTGTGTGTGTGTGTGTGTGTGTGTGTTTGTTTGTAGGGCATGATTCTAGAAGGAAGCCCAAGAAAGGGGAGAAGAGATCTTAAGGAAGAGCATATATGGGGAAAGAGAGGTAAAGGGATACATGTTTCATGGGAACAGAAGGTAGACTATTTGGAGGAAGGAAGGCAATCAGGAAGAATAGAGCAAAAATATAAACTAAACTGATATTTGTATGGATGCACACATCGACACCTAGACTAGAAGATAAAAATAATCCAAATCATACTTGATTTATAACAGAGGCATTACAAAACAGAGAAGAGAATAAGGTGTCTGCAATTCACAATGGTGGGAAAAATTATCATCTGTAAGACAAATTCATACTGCATATAAAAAATGAGACAGATTATAGATATAAAGTAAAAGCAAAAAATATAAAATGTAAGATGATAAAATACGTTACTGGCCATATGTTGGGGAAGAATTTCTATCCTTATATTTCACCAAGATTAAAATATTTGGAACCATTAAAATTGGTCACAGAGGGCTGGAGAGATGGCTCAGAAGTTAAGAGCATTGCCTGCTTGCTCTTCCAAAGGTCCTGAGTTCAATTCCCAGCAACCACATGGTGGCTCACAACCATCTGCAATGGCGTCTGGTGCCCTCTTCTGGCCTGCAGGCATACACACAGACAGAATATTGTATACATAATAAATAAATATTTTTAAAAAATTGGTCACAGAATGGGAGAAACATTTGTACACATATAACTATTAATTACAAAGGATTCATTGTACCTGTTTAATAAAATGCTGATTGACCAGTAACCAGGCAGGAAGTAGAGGAAGGACAATGAGAACAGGAGAACTCTGGGAGAGGAAAGAGTCAGTCTACAGTTGTCACCAAGACAGAGAGGAAGCCAGACACAGAGCAAGCAAGATGTGACTGCCTCGCCAAAAAAGCTACCAAGCCACATGGCTAACACAGACAGGAATTATGGGCTAATATAAGTTATAAGAGTTAATAAGAAGACTGAGATACTAGGCTTATCAGTTTATGATTAATATAGACCTCTGTGTGTTTAATTGGGACTGAATGGCTGCAGGACCGGGCAGGACAGAAACCTCTGTCAACAAATGGAGCGCCAACATGGGGCTGACCAAATCCATTTAAAAACCTGAGAGAGCTTGGGAAGTTATTCTAGATAGAAAAGAATAGATTTAAGTGGTGTAGGGGATCCTTCTGTCTATGTGTTGCTTTTATTGGTTAATGAGTAAAGAAACTGCCTTGCCCTGTTACTAGAGTAGAACTTAGGTAAGCAAGATGTGACTGCCTCGCCAAAAAAGGTACCAAGCCACGTGGTTAGCATAGACAAGTATTATGGGCTAATATAAGTTATAAGAGTTTATAAGAAGCCTGAGCTAATAGGCAAAACAGTTTATAATTAATGTTGACCTCTGTGTGTTTATCTGGGACTATATGGATGTGGGACTTGGTGGGATAGAAACCTTGGACAACAAGTATGTTTGGAACTTTCATATAAATGAGACAAAAAATACCAACAGAAAAATAGGCAAAAGACTTGAATAGGCACATCACACACATACACACACATACACACACACACACACACACACACATACACACACACACACATATCCAGTCAAATAGAGAAATGTATTTTAAAACTACAAATGCATCACAAAGTCAAGATGTAGTGCAGTGAGGACATCTACACCCTGGTAGTAGCATGAATTCATACAGCCTCATTTGGAAACTGGCATTATTTGATTATGCTGAATATAAGGAGATTGATGCAGGAGGGTTTCTGTGAGTTCAAGACCAGCCCAGACTACACAGTCCAAATGACAACAAAAGCAAACTTCAAATACAGCAACTTTAAGAATAGTAAAGATACTATTCTTGTAAAAGTAACAGAAACAAACAAGAACACCTTATAAGGTGGCAAATCTAAGTTGTACCTCCATGATTTCCTGACAGTGGGAAACTTGACAATTTAAAGGTTGAGAAAAGGACATACTTTGATTGGGAAAATACTCACATTCTCGAAAATGACTTAATTTGGGCATTACTTCTTCCTTGAACAGCTGGAGGACTTGTTCAACAATCTCCCGGTTTCGGTTCTGGCTCAGAGCACCCATGTATTTCTCCAGAAGAGGGATGTTTTTCAGATTCCAGATGAAGTTCTCCCGATGAAGAAGATTTAACTTCGGATGACAAAATTCCTAGATGAAAAGCAAGAAACAGGAGAGGATGTACCTTAGGCGGTAGAACGCACGATGCCCTACCCTGGATCCAGTGAAAACTAGGCATGATAGCATTTGCCTATAAACCCAGCACCTGAGAGGTGGATACAGGAAGATCAGAAACTCAAAATCATCCTTGGCTACTTAGTGAGTCTGGGTCTGCCTCAAAAAAAAGTAAATAAATAATTTTTTTAAAAGCAAGAGACAGCCTCTTGACACCTTAACACCCTATATCTCTATGGAGAGATCAGTGTCTTGCCACACTCTCCCCTCAAAAGGTGCCTACCGGAGGCAGATGGCACTCTCTTATGGCAACTGTCCTGCCTTATTTATGGTAACCCATAAAGCAAGGTGGATGAAGTGACACCTCTTAAGATCCAGCCTGATGTGGGATTCCCCTCTGTATGCTGTGAATACCATTGGTGAATAAAGAAAACTGCCTTGACCTGTTGATAGGGCAGAACTCAGGTAGATGGGGGGAAAAACTAAGCTGAATGCTGGGAGAAAGGAGGCAGAAGCAGAGAGAAGCCATGTAGCCCTGCTGGAGACAGACCCCGGAACTGTATAAGCCACAGCCACATGGCGATACACAGATTACTAGAAATGGGTTAAATTAAGATATAAGTGTTAGTAAATAAGAAGCTAGAGTTAATGGGCCAAGCAGTGATTTAAATAATATAGTTTCTGTGTGATTATTTCGGGTCTGAGCTGCCGGGGCAGTCAGGAAACACACAAGTAAACTTCTCACAACACCAGCCCTTGGAAGGTAGAGGTCAGAGGACCTTCCCTTTAAGGCTAATATCTGTCTTTCTTTATAAATCCACAAAATATTAAGCCCCTTTTTATTTGATCAAGACCTTAGTTTTAGGAGCATAGTTTCATTTTACTTGATCTTCATTGGTGTGAAGACAATTTTCTCCTTGTTTTAAGTTTTTTGAGACAGGGTCCTACATAGCCCACTCTGGCCTTGAGCTCCCTATGTATTTAAGGGTGACTTTGAACTCCTGATCCTCCTGCCTTCACCTCCCAAATGTACTAGAATTAGAAGCATATGTCACTGTGTCGGGTTCTTAGAAAGCGATTTCTAACTAGTGCTTTATGGTGGTTTGAGAGAAAACAGCCCTCAAAGGGAATAGCACTATTAGGAGGTGTGTCCTTGTTGGAGGAAGTATGCCACTGTGCAGGTGGGCTTTGAGGTCTCTTTTCTCAAGTTTCACACAGTGTGGTCGTCAGTTGACTTCCTGCTGTCTTTTGGTCAAGATGTAGCCAGCTCCATATCTGCCTGCATTCTGCCATGCTCCCTGTCATGATTATAATGAACTGAACCTCTGAAACTGCTGTGAGCCACCACCTCAATTAAAAACCCTAAGACATGCTTGCAAAAGGAACTGAAGGCTGCTCTCAAGATCATGGTGCCTCACACCTGTAATCCCAGCAGTCAGGAGGCTGAGACAAGAGGATCACTGCAAGTTCAAGGCCAGCCTGGCTAGGTGTAATGATTTGAATAAAAATGACCCTTATAGCCCCATAGGGAGTGACACTCTTAGGAGGTGTTGGCCTTGTTGGAGAAAGTGTGTCACTGGGGGTTGGGCTTGATGTTTTAGAAGCTCAAGCCAGGTCTAGCAGCTCACTGTCTCTCTCTGCTGTCTGCCGATCCAGATGTAGAACTCTCAGCTCCTTCTCTAGCACCATGTCTGCCTGCACGCTGCCATGCTTCCTACCATGACTATAATGAACTAAAACTCTGAACTGTAAACTAGCCCCAATTAAGTATTTTCCTTTATAAGAGTTGCTGTACTGGGCAATGGTGGTGCATGCCTTTAATCCCAGCACTTGGGAAGCAGAGGCAGGCAGACTTCTGTAAGTTCAAGGCCAGCATGGTCTACAGAGTGAGTTCCAGACAGCTAGGACTGTGACACAGAGAAACCCTGTCTTGGGGAGTGTGGGGGGGTTGCCACAGTGAATTCCAGGACAGCTTGGGAGAGTCTGTCTCTAAAACTAAAAAGAGGACCAGTATGATGGCTAACTGGGTCCAGGTACTTGCTATTAGGTTCAATGACCCAAATTTTGTTCCCTGGATCCCACAAGGTAGGAGAGAACTGACTCTAGAGAATTATCACCTGACCTCTATACTCCTACACTTTTACTGTGACATACAACTTAACACACCACACACACACACACATGAGAGGGGGGATAAATACTTTTGTTAACTATCCAAATCAAGAGATCTGTTTTCCCCCACTCGACTCGTCTGAGGCCGCCCTCTGTCATTTTTCAGTGCATCTTCACTCACTTGGTTCCATCACTCTGGCCTCACCGGAGTCCAGGGGGCCTCACGGCCTTGGCACAGGCTGTTTCTCTCCTCCAGGATGCCCTTTTCACAGTGATGTTAGCGTCTTGTTTCCACTAGGCCAAAAAACACCTCTGTACAGACTTCCTGACCACTCTTAAAATTTCAACCCCTTCCCCAGCATGTCACAGCTCTCTATAGGAATATATTCATGGGAGGTACTGTCCCTTAAGAGGGCTCTTCTCCCCTCACTGAGCTAATTCTGCTTCTCCATTGGTGTCCAGGCTGTGGGTCCATCGTAACAGGGTACATCTGCTCTGGACCCCCAAGCCTGGGAGCTGCTTTGAGGACAGCATTCCGTGTACTCAGCATCTTCTCTTTGGCAGATGAAATAGCTCTAGTTCCTTCAACTCTTCCTCTTGAGCCCATTTTTTGACCTCCTCACCTTCTGGTTAGTTAAATGTCGCTGCTGATCACAAAAACAGAGGGTAAGCACTGAAACACTGGGAACCATGGCTTTGGAGTGACTGACTCGGAACAGAGATAACGGTAGGAGGGAAATTCTCATTTCAGGCTGTCCAGCGCTACTCAAAGCCCTTTTTTTAGAATCTCATATATTACTTTTATTTTTATTTCGTGGTATAGGGGGTGGTGAATGTGTGATGTGGGATGTCCTTCTGTATATGTGTTGTTTTTATTGGTTGATGAATAAAGCTGTTTTGGCCAGTGGCTTAGCAGAGTAAAGCCAGGCAGGAAATCCGAACAGAGATAGAGAGAGTAGGCAGAGTCAAGGGGACGCAATGTAGCTGCCGAAGGAGACAGATGCCTGCACATTTTACCGGTAAGCCACAGTCTCGTGTGATACACAGATTAATAGAAATGTGCTAATTTAAGATGTACGATGTAAGAGCTAGCAATATGCCTGAGTCATTGGTCAAACAGCGTTGTAACTAATATAACTTTTCATGTGATTATTCGGGTCCAGGTGGCTGGGAAAAGAAAGCACAGTCTCTACACATGTTTATGATAGTACATATGTTGATGGGTATACATGCTTGTGTGCACTGGTCCGTAGAGGTCAGAGGTCAACTTCACATACCATTCCTCAGGAGTAATTCACTTTGTTTTATGGAACAAAGTCTCTCATTGGTCTAGAGTTTGCCAATTAGGCTATACCAAAGCTCCAGAAATCCTCCTGCCTCTCCCTCCACAGAGCTGGGATTATAAGCCAGGGGCCAGTCACACAGCCACATAGCCAGCCACGGGGTAAGAAGTAAAGAAAGATAGATAGAATAAAGAAAGGTAAAAAGTCCAAAGGCAAAACACAGTTAGAGAGTTTCTTATGTGAGTTCCTGGGAGACAACTCAAGTCTTCGAGCTTCTGCACGAAGCATGTAGCGTCACTTCATTTACTGAACTCTTTCCAGCCTCTGTTTGTATGTATATGTGTGTGTATGTATGTGTGTCTTATGTGAATATGTGCACATGAATGCGGTGCCCACAGAGTCCACAGGCAGTTGTGAACCATCCTGTGGGTACTGGAAACTGAACTTGGGTCCTCTAGAAGAACAGTATATGCCCTTAAGTAGTGAACCATCTCTCTATCTTTTTTTTTTTTAAAGTGAATATAACAAAGACAGGTATGGTGGTGCCTGCTTTTAATCCTAGCTCTTGGGAGGCAAAGGCAGGAGGATCTCTGTGTGCTTCAGGCCAGCCTGGTCTACATAGTGAGTTCTAGAACAATCTGAGCTACAGAGTGAAACCTTGTCTTCAAAAAAAAAGTGCTTTGGGGATGGTGAGATGGCTCAGTGGTTAAGAGCACTGACTGTTCTTCCAAAGGTCCTGAGTCAAGTCCCAGCAACCACAAGCATCTGTAATGGAATCCGTTGCCTTCTTCAGGCATGGATGTGTACCTATAGACAGAGCAAACTTTTTTAAGTGCTTAAAATAAATATTAAAGTAAATATAACTCTTGCTGGGTTTCAACTACAGTCTACTCAGGTGAGGGTTAGGGTTAGCTACTCCAATGCTGGCACTGTTGTCCCCTGCATCCACACAATGTTGTCTCAGTTCTCGTGACAGCAGCGGAAAGAACACTGGACTGAGTCACAAATACTGTTGTTGTGGAATATTAGTTTAAGAAGTGTTACATTCACTTATGCTATGGAATATTTAATTATGCAAAGATGTGTTGCATTCTTTTCTGTTGCATTTGTTTAACTCTGTAAAACTGTGTTACTCTGCCTGTCTAAAACAGCTGACTGGTCTAATAAAGAGCTGAATGGCCAATAGCAAGACAGGAAAGAGGGACAGGTGGGACTGGCAGGTCAAGGACAAATAGGAGGAGAAATCTAGGCTCCGGAGAGGGAAGAGGGAGGAGCAAGAAAAGGAAAAGGAGAAGGAGAGGATGACCCCAGGAGCCAGTCACACAGCCAGCCACGGAGTAAGAAAGACATATAGAATAAAGAAAGGTAAAAAGCTCAGAGGCAGGATGTAGTTAAAGAGAACCCGGATAATTGAAGTTAGAAACGCTGACTAGACATGAGCCAAACTAAAGCCGGGCATTCATAAGTAGAATAAGTCTCTGTGCATTATTTGGGAGCTGGGTGGCAGGCTCCAAAAGAGGGGGGAAAAGCCAACAACAGATCATAGTCCCGTCTCCCTCTTCCACTTACAAACATCCCAGA